AAAGGTCTCCAACAGTTTTACAAGACTTGCTGTGCTGTGCAGTGTTTCTGCAGGAATTTCTGTAATATTACATCTGAAGCTTCAGTATTGCAGAAGACAACACAGAACAGAGGCTGGCAAGTGACCTCACTGCAGCCTACACAAACACTGCTGACTGCAAAGCCACTGCTGTGTGCTTGGTGCTGCATGTCTTGGTGTGAATCCCTGCAGCTTCTGGTATCCCCAGGCATACTTGCTTCTGCTGTTGCATATGAGATCTGGATTTACAACAGTGACACAGGTGCCTGCAGGATCAACTGTAACAACACAATAGGTTGACAGCTTATACATCCTCTGAGGGATTTTAAACATCCTAGGCCAGGTGGTAGTTTGATGGCTATGCGTACTGAGGGTGACAGCAGCAGAAGATTCAGAGTTACTGCTGTGAACAAAAGTGATTAGACTTCCTATGCTCACAGCTATATACTACATAGCATGCATATATATATATATAAAATACTCTGTCACAGAAATAAAAACTAAAGACAGACAGCTTTCAGTACAACATCTCAGCTTATTCCATTCATATCAAATAACTGTTGTCCTATGAAACAATTCTGATCAGATTTTGTGGATAACAAAATGCCCTAGTTAAGGAGGGACTGATTTATTTTCTGTCCCAAAGAACAGTTACCATGTGCCACTTTATTTGTACCTGCTGCCTGAGCAGTGAGTACATAAGCCCTGTGTATGAATCCCCCTGCTCTGAAGAAGATACCACATAGTTTCATCAGAATATCTTTGCTATGTCAATTTTAATTCCAACCCGTACTTCAATATGCACATAACTATTTTCAAATACAATGAAAACTTGAAGCCGACAGCATCAGTCACCAGCATTGCAGCTTTCAGTAAATCCTTCAAGACTTCAGAAAAATCTCTATAAACATTGTGAAAAGTAGATACAGAATGTACAGAGACAGTTTTCTATACAAAAGTGCATTTTAGCAATACAATTAGCAGAGAACCTGGGGAAAAAAAATCACCTCAATGTAAGCTGTACCATATACCCTATTCTATAACCCATCTCTCCTCCAAAAAAAAGAAAATCACAAAACCCCATTTCCCCCTTGCTTTGGTTATGAACTATATTCAAGGCTTCAATGTTATAATTTATTTTTTAAAATTTCAAGAATTAATTTGTACTTTTGAAATGTTTTAAGTTAGCCAGATGACAGAAAAAGGAAGTAGGATTACTCAGGGTTAATAGTCAAAATAGACAAGCTTTGAATATTACTAGGATTTGCTCCTGGTAGATTTAAAAACTATCTTTGCAATCCTTAAACAGAAAATGGCATGTTGACTTGTGTTTTCTATGCCCAAGAACTGCAATATTAACAAACTAAAGAACATTAAACCAATAAATCTAACATTTGCCACAAAAACCTGGCTTATAAGAATGAACTTCAAGAGCCCCTCAAAACAGTCAGGTTTGTTAATATTTATAGACCAATCCATCAACAGGTTTCAAAGCTGAAAGAGTAAAAATCAGGACAAAAGAAATGGCTTCAGGACATTCAGCATAGATTAACAGTGAATATTGCCATTTTTCTATGTTTCTGCATTGTATATGCACTCTGATGTAAATACATATGAATAAGTTCAAGCAGATTGAGTTTTTTTCATTATTTTTTTCCCCAGAGAATGATCTTCACAGGTTTCAAACCACAATATGAGAACTAAAGGTAAGCCCAGGAAAGTCTTGTGAAGACTTTTCTTGCTTTTCTTAGTAAGCACCCCATACTGAGCATACTATAATCATCTTTTAATTAGTATCCCAGATAAAGAAAAATATATATCTTAAAAGTGACAAAGGATGACATCAGATACACACACAAATCAGACAGGTTCATCAGGCAGTTAGCTTTCTTCCTCATATTTATAATCATATTAGAAAAGAATGTTCTCTATTGTTTACAGTCCTATTGCATTCAGACTTTCAGTGCTCCTTCTAAGCCTTTTTAGAGAAAAAGTTACTATGGAAGCAAATCATTAACATTACAGAGTGCAAACTTATTACATTCTTATTACAGTGGGTACCAAGCACCTAGATATACAGCTTCAGTACCATGGAGCTATACAACTATGAGCTTTTTCTGTTTGTCTCTATTTTGCTTTTAAGCTTGACATTTTTTATCTGTGAATAAAAAGCAGAGGGTTTACTGTTTTTTGAAAAAGCACTTACAAGAATGAATTATTTTAGCAGCCTTTTACTCTTCTTTATCTATCTGAACCCAATAATCTGTAGGAAACTTGCTGTAAAACAATGTGGCAGCCACAATGGCCAACACTTGAATCAGCAAGACCAGGTTTAACTAAAATTCCAACTGTTTGACTAATGCCACACGCATCCAATACAAATTCACGGAATTATTTTGGTTGGAAAAGACCTTTAAGATCATCAAGTCCAACCGTAAACCTAACCCTGCCAAGTCCAGCACTAAAACCTTGTCCCTAAGTGCCACATCTACACAATACCTCCACAGATGGTGACTCAGACCTTCCCTGGGTAAGCACACAGCATATTGCAGGGAAAGACAAGAATCTGGCAAAATGACAACCCCTCCACAAAATGACTGTGTCATTAGTTCTAAGAATAATATGAAAAGGGAAAAAAAACCCCAAACACATAGAAGTACGTGAGAACCCTTGAATCCCACAGCTACTTCAGGCCTGACTATCTGACAACATGCATTGTTTTGTGTTCTTAGATTGTAAGCACCACAGGACTATGACAATACAGAGCGATACATTATTACCATGAAACCCCTGGAAAACCACCCTCTTCTATCATTTTAACTGTCACACAAGTGACTAAAGTACCAGCTGGAGATAACATGCCACAATCAACTACTGTGGCACCCAGGACCTTTTCATGCAACATAACAGATGAACCACTGGACGCATCTAATCACCTGGATTAATCCATACTTACATGCTCACACTAAGATCAAGATGGAAATCCTATTCTCTCTCATGCCATGATCTCTAGATGCTAGCAGACAGGTGACCAAAAAGAACTGTACCTCATCAAAATGAGGGGTGTCTTCTCTCAATAAAGCCTGAGGATTTTAACTCTGAAGAGCTGTTGAAATAGAATAAAGTGACATACCTTTATGCTCTACCACACTGAAATATTGCACCTTTCTTACAATTCATTTCAGAATCTCAGTTCTGTACAGTATGAAGTGTGCATTCTTCTTCAGAAAAAAAAATCCACCATTCAAAGTCACTGCAGAAAATAAAGGTTGTGCTGAACTGTGACAGTGTGCACACAGTGAAACGTTTCATGATTAATTCATCCATTACAGCCACAGTAAGTGGGAAGAGTTCAAGAACTGCACTCTGAAATTATCTGAATTGACAGCAATTCAATTTTTAATTCCATCCAATATATTTAGAAGAACCTCCAAGTTAAGTCAGTCTAAATTCTCAGTAACTTACATACTGTTAAAAAGTGTTGCGTATTGTTTCTAGAGGAGGAAGGAAGGCATCAACTAGTTACAATGCAGTACAAACAAATAACGCCAGGTAACAGTCACTTATGGCTAGTGGCCAAGTAACTGGCCAGATGGGATAGCTCACAATTGAGCTAAAAATGACCTCACGTATGTTTTAATCAGTCAATGGGCAAGTCTGGGTACCCATGGTCTAGCAGCAATAAGAGTAAGTTCCCACATATCAGTTTGACTAGGTATTTTACTGGTCAGTTTATTTTGAGACTAAAAGGAATGCCACTTCCAAGATAAAAACACTTCAGCTGAAAGGGCTACTAAGTCCATGCAGGAAATCCAAAATTAACGTGAACAGCCCTATAACAAGCTGACCATGCAATTCTGCAGGATTGGTCTATATCCTGCAATTACAGCCACCAGTGCCCACACTAAACTGCCAAACTCCTAATTCACAAGAGCAAAGCAAAAGTCATGAACATCAAGACAATGAAAAATTACTTCCTAAACTCAGAACTAGAAAATACTTCTATGAATTTTAAGTTTCATGTTCGAAGTTTTCTAGCTCAGCGGGGGGGGGGCAAGTAGTTCCAAGATAAGTTATGGATTGTCAGAATTAAAAAACAGGCTACAACTACTTTTACCTCCCTACCTGAAAGCCATCATTTTACACTATTTTCTGAGCAAGGGAAAATTCAAAAGCAGGTAACAAAAAGAGGAGAATTCTGAAACATATAATGGTATAACAACCCACACAGAAGACACATCCTCAACTAAACACACAATTAAAAAGCACAGCTGTATTAAGTTCTCTTGCCCACAATGTGAATCTATTTAAATATTCTTCTGGGGGAAAAAAAACCACCAGGGTTGTCTGCCACTTGTTTGCACTTCAGTTTCCAGTATTTTTAACTACTGTAAGTAGTGTCCTAGACAACTTAATTGCAGATCAGTGTGTGCTTTCAATGCATAAAGATCTTTTTATTTTAAGCTTTTCATTGCAATACTAGGGATGGTCAACTATTAGTAACAACCATACTGTAAGATACTGAGCAGCAAAGTAACTTGCTGAAGACTAAGCTTACAAGTGATTTTGAGTTCTAATGGCTTCCTAAAGAACCACATTAGGCATTGTGTGTGTTACAAAGTCACTGCATTAGAAGCTCTTTTTTTTTTTTGTGTAGTTTGAGTTAAATTCCAACTTCTAGAAAAGGATAATCACAGTACTTTGATTTTGTATGATCCAAGAGCAAGACTGAAGAAAGCCCTAGAGAACTAAACTTTTTCACACGATAAACTATCCTCCTCATAGTGGGAAAGAAAGACAGAACAAGCCAAAGGAAATTTAACTTTAAGCTGAAAAAAGCCCAAAAATCTGAAGCACAGTAATGCATGCTTAGTGTCATCCAAAAGCACCCCTAGAGTCATGTCTTGCAAGAAACTTAGCATGTGTGCCCAGTTCAAATTCCTTAATAATTGTACCTATTCAGCTGCTTTTCAGAAGTCAGTTAAGTTTCCAAAGCCTTTCTTGCAATATTAGTCTCAAAAAGGTTAAGTTACTGAATACTTAAACCTTCTTTACCAAAATTACACTTGAGAAACGATCTGGTTTATACTGTTAACACTAATCAAAATTTGGTCAAGAAATATATGTAAACAATAAGGATAATACATTTAAGGCTTAGAAAGAACACTGATAAATTCACCCCTGTCACATCAAAACATCTACATCTCCTTCATGGTCCTCCTCAGTCACTTTTAAAGAGAGCACTTCTTCATTAAGAAATAATCCACTCAGTCTTTCCTTACGAGCTTGTCTTTGCTCTTTCAGCTGTCTCTTGCGTAAGGCCTTTTGCTGCAGCTTCCGTTGCTTGGAACGTTTCTGCCAAAATACAGAAGGGACAAAGAGTAAGATTTTTTTCTTTAGATCACACCTTTTAAGCTGGCAAATACACATCAATCTCTAAAATAATGTCTGCTCTGAAAAAGAACTAAAAAATTAATTCTCAGAGGTGGTGCAAACATCCATCCAAAATCATATCTCATTTAAAATATCAAGACTATGACATCTGAGTTATGAGGCACATCATCACCCTGTGATGTTGCACAGCTGAGTCTTTGACCAGAAGAATCTTTATTGCAGGGAAAATGTTAAGTGTTACAATAACAACCCAAGATGTTGAAGAGTAAGCAGGAACTGCTTCTCTCCTCCACACTTGAAACTAAAATCATGGAGACAGGACAAGTGCCACAGCACTACTTGAACTGAAACATGCTTCAGTAGGTCACTCCTCCCCAAGCAGTCTCATGAGACATGTTGGAAGAATAAAATGAAAAAGATTGAAAAAGCCTGATGAAACTTACAGTTGGGGAAAAAAAACATAAAACTGAGAAAGCCTTTACCATCCAGACATTATGTGTAGATTAGGTTAATCAATCTTGAATTATTATTTTTTTTAAACTGTGTCAATTCAAATAATTCAGTTAGATTTATAAAGCCCTTATTTAGCCCCTTCTCACCTACTGTAAACAAAAGTCATTAGAAGATCTACTACATGCAAACATCAGGTTTTCACTTAGAAGAGAAGTGATGGGAAGAGCTCAAGCTAAACTCCTTGTGACCACATCTGAGGAAACAGTCAGCATTGACTTAGCAGATCCTCAGTCACTAACCATGCTGCTCAGTACAAACATCCCAGTTCAGATCACAGAAGCAACCTTAAAAAGTTAGACAGCATAATACACAAGTACATCATCAGAAACTTTACTTTTGAATCCCGGATTCTTTCTGCAGCACTCGTGGACAAATTACTATCACTGTGTGCTCGACTCATGCTGGCACTCGAGTTGGAAGCAGAGTTAGCAACACTGGAACCACTGCTGCTGGCTGAGCTGACCATGCTGGCACTGCTGCTGCTGGCACTGGCGCCGCTCACACCACTGGTACTTGCACAGCTGTAGCTGCTCCTCTTCCAGTTTTCCCTCGCAGACCGTTGACGAGGTCCATGTTCCTTTATATAGTTTCTCACCTTTAGAACAGAGGCAGCAGAATTATTATAGCCTGAGAAATACTGTACTTAGACACTCCTTTTCATGGAAAAAGCACAGTTTGCCTATGAATAATGATCAAATTATTGGACCAGTTCAGTTAGTCTTTTAAAACATTTTGCTGTGGCTGCTTAAATCCCAAGCCATCTGGTAGTCAACACAAGAACTTCCCTAATAACTAAGTTAATATTAATTATAGAAGGAAGAAAACAAAGTAACAATGTTTGGGTTTCCCCAGCCCCCCCCTCCCCCGGCTCCTGTCTCCTGAGTTTTCTACTACATAACAGTAAGTTACTATTAAAACACCAAACAGGAGTATGAGTCAAGTTCAAATGAACCAAGTTGTTTACCTAATGTATGAAACCCATTTACTTTGCTAGATACTCTCAAACAAAAGTGGCTGTAAGGAAAGCAGTCCTGTTCTACTTTAAAATGAGACTTACAAAATTGAAATATGAAACAGGCCAAGCTCCTAATAGCATTTATCTACCATACCCGTCAGGTATCACAACTCTGTATGAGACTTGGCAAGACATATCAGATGCTGAAACCCAAAGTTATGTACAAACCTTAACTCACCTGTTTCAGTTTCTCATCTGTGAGACAGTTCAATTCAATAATGAATTCACTGTCCGTAGGTGAGATCTGAGCAGTAGGATCAATAATTTTAATAATATCAAGTTGCTCTCGAAGGCCCATCTCTGTACTGACTTTGCGACTCAAATATTCAATATATTCAACCTAGGAACCAAAGTAAGGCATGTCATTTTAAATTATTATTGATTCTAAATGAGTGACACAAAAAAAAGGAAAGCCTAACAGAATACAAAGTGCTCAAACATCACATTTCCTACAATTGTAGCCTAACTGAGTATCCTCAAAAATGTAGGGTGAAAATCTGAGTGCATGTTACTAATGCAGAGGCAAAAGACAAGATTTAGTTTCAAGAATCCAGTAGTACCACACAGGTCTACATTTACACCTACAGCTATCAGAAGAAGCGGGTCTAATTCAAACTTCTTCTGTATATTACAATTCTCACATAGGAAAAAAGTCATTTTCACCTGCTCATCATTTGTCATTGCACTCCATGGAAGTTCATCGAGATTCCGATGCTTGTTTTTCTTTTTCGGAAGCAGACAAGGAGAGCTGGGAATACTGGGTATAACATCAGAAAGCACATCACTCCCACTTGTAATGTCACTGCTAGGCAACTTGTAATATGTAAGAGAAAGAACAAAGCCTTAGAATAGAGTAGGCAGATTTAAAGTAATTCTAACACCATTAACATTTCAAAACATAACATCAAATTAGCAAAGCATCATTTATCTATGTACTCCAACAACTACTTATTAATTACTCATAACCCTGCACTACTCCTTTGCATCTTCCAACAAACAGCAAGTGAAAACTCAATTCACACTATCCCCTACTTACCAATCCTCTTTTTAAAAAGTTGCATTTAAAAAAGCAGCAGAATGGTTTGGTATTTCAACTACTTCCCTTCTCCAACAGTGTAAACTGCCCATTACAAACCAAGCCTAAATCTAAACCTCCCATTTGAAAGCATAAATCTAGTTTAAGGAAGATCATTTCAAGGTAGGTTTGTAATTTACACCACACCCCATAATTACACAAGACAATTCCATTAAAATCACTGTCATTTTCCTGGAAGAAACTGCAGAACTTCTTAGCTTCATTTATACAACTGACATGCAATTTCTGAATGCATTTCCAGTTAAAGTGTGACAGCTGAGTTACTCATGCTCAGATTCTGCCAGGTAACACTATGAAGAGCTACAAAAAAGTCTTTTCAAAATTCTACAAGTCCAATCAAGTATGCCTCTTAAGAAATGCTTGTTTTAAAAAACAAAGGATAGTTTTCAAAAGCTAGTTACTAATCAAACATGCTGTCAACTAACTAAGACATGGGAAATTGCTTCTTTTCCAAACAATTACTGACTTTTATCAGGAAGTTAAAATTTCACAACTCAATGAAGCTCTGAATCATTGGGATCCAATCCAAGCGGCTCCTACAGGCTGCCTGACACAAATGCACTTGTAAATTCTGTGATACAATACACCTAGAGACTAGCAGTTAGGCTGAACCAGTAAGAAATCCAAAGCTAGTCTCAGTTCATGTTATCTTGAGTTCATTTGCATTTTCTGGAACAGGATTTCTGCTTTCTTGAAATCAGTGAAGGAAAGAGCTTCTACACTCAACCTAAGTGCCAGCTCCATTCCAAAGGAATACAACCAAATCACTGGAAACAGACCACTATAACCAGATTTATTTAGCCTAACACATCCTCAGTACAAAGAATCTAAGCTCATGGCTACAAGACAAATGTTGGCCAAGAGAACCAGATGACCACAATCTGTAAGCAACCCTCTTTGAAGACCTGACCTTCAGTCACTCCTCCAGATTAAGAATGTAGGAATAAAATGGAACAAAATGTTTTCTTTAATCACTGGAGATTCAGATATCTGCTCTTGGTTCAGTAGTTACCAAGAAAAAATGCTGAGGACTTTTCACTTAAAGGTAAACACAGTACTTAATAGTCTATACAAAATTTTGTATACAGTTGTATTGGAACTAGTTTACCTGCCATTCAAACTCACTGTCTGACCAATCCCAGTATGTGCTGATAGAAGAAGAGACATCACTGCAGACACTACCCTCAGGGAACAAATCAAAAGAGGTGAACTCCTGGTCATCCAACAGAGAGTAGCAGTCGTCCTGATCACCCACTGACACCGACGAGAACAGCTCCTCACTGCACTCTGAGCTGGCCACGCTGGTTCCACAAGATGTCAAGTTCCACCTGCAGAACAGGACAAAAGAAATAGAATTCATCAAATACATTGGAATTGTGTCCTGAAAAATGCTTAGCTGTTTTAAGCCTCATAAAACTATCTTCACTTTGTCAGTAATATATTTATTTTATGGAAATAAGTTATAATTCTGTAAATTTAAGTATTGTATTTAAAAATGTTTTTACAGTTCCACAAGCAACATCAAAGGGAATTAAGTGTTAAAATCACAAGGCAGAAATCCATATATAGTATATGGATTAGTACTAGTACAATTACACCTTTATTTTAATATATTAAGGGTTTCCACTCCAGAGCCATGGTTCCTGTAGTGTGTAAATTGTCTTTGTTTGCTGGTGTTTTTTTTAAATACACCAAACTAAAAATATCATTTCCTGCATGTTGGGATATTTAAACTCCCATGTAAATTGAAGTAAGCACACCTAAGAAGTAAATCAGTTGGACTTCAAAAGTCAAAAAGAAATTCTAGGTTGATAAAACTAAGGCTTAAGAAGGAAACTTTATGGATATATCAAAAGCTCCATTATTGACTGTTTTCAACTCTGAATGCCAAAAATATCAGACATACTGTTGGAATGAGACAGTGTAAGATGGGAAAATAATCTGTATGAAAATGCTACTATGCCAAAACTAAATACACTTTTCCCCTCATAATTTCATTTAAAAAACTAGCTAATGCTGTTGCTGAAGGAAAGCGACTGAGGATTCAAACTTCAAAGACCAGGTGTTTTCTTCACTCTAATGAGACTGAGCCAGAATTTAGCAGGCTCATGAAATCAGTCTGGATCTCTGGATTTATTTTACATACTGGTGAAAACTAGGTTGAGATAATTATGAGTCAGCACAGCACTGAACACAGCCAAAACAACTGGAAAAGAGCTTCTAAAATTCTCCACAGAAACCCACGCGATCAGCTGCTGTTCCATCCTCCTGTCCACTTCAGCCTGGCTAACTAGAAAAGCATTTCTCCATCCAACAGCAAAACTGAGCAATGCTATCACCCAGAAAGGCTGGTCCTCACCGTCGCCCTTTAAGCTGCATACCAGCTTGGCTAAATATGTTTGTGATGGACTCACTCCCAAATCTATTTGACCAGCAATGAACTTATCCAATGTTAAAGACATGTAAAAAACTTTTATTTTAGCAGAATCAAGAGATCTTGCCCTCCCTCCCTTTCTGCATCCCTTACACACGTGATGTTTCAGTCGTGCAGACTTCTGTGGGCAGAGCAACCGGGTGGTGTAGAACAGAACCTGTGGTGACACAGCAGGCTTCTGAACACTGCTGCAGCCTCAGTGTTCATGAAATATCAATGAAAGGAAAGACAGAGTGGACAGTTTCCAGACCCATCAAACCACGGGATGAGGTAGAGGGGCTCTAACATCAACAAAGTGCACACAGATAGTCCAGGCATGCAGTGTCACTGCAGGTACAGGCAGTCACCTCCAGTACCTCAGGGGGCTGCTGCACTTGCTGGGGTGAACTGGATTAACAAGAAGTGGGAACTACATTACAACTACTCGTAAGTTTAAAAAACAGAAAGCCTTCTGTGAACACCACAGGTTGAGTTTGGCATCTGCAATGGTTTAATCAATGCAAGACAGGGCATGTCCTTGCCTGAAGAAGTGAAACATCCCCTTGAGATGCCTGGGTTACAAACCTGGGTTTGTTAAACGGGCAAGCCTGAATAACAGACTTGGGAAGTGAAAGGCAATACAAAGAGAAAGGTACCAAATTAATTAAATACAAACTTGGTGAATATCACACATTTATCTTACAGATATGCTACTACAAACACATTTTACTTTCCATGTCACAGCTGGGTCTTACAATGTAAGAACTAGAAAATCAAAGTGTATCATGTTTTATTAAGGCTCTTCACAATGAATCATTTGAGAATCTATAATGAAGAGCCTGCCCCTCTGAATGACACTTTTAAGGTGTAATTTCCATTATTTCATACAAATTCAATGGAAAGATTACCTTATTATTCACTCTTTATCATGGTGTCGTAGAAACACGACTAGTAGAAGTATGGAACTAAAACTTTGCCACATGTAAGTTCAAAACTGAAATCTCACTAGTTTTTCTCAAAAAGAGAAATTTTGCTAAATTCAAGCTTAATACTATGCATAAACAGTAGCAGAATTGGATTCTTAAGTAAGCAGGACTGCGGTTTTGACTTTATAAGCACAACTGGAATGTCTTTGTAGAGCTGCATCTGCATTTTTAGAACAAACCTTTTCTACAAATTACAGACGGAGTAATTTGCCCTTAATTAGCAGCATGGGATGGAAATGCTTATGCAGGAATCACTGCCATCACCGAGCTGCCTGACTCATCTGAGCCTCCAGTTTTCGCTCCGTGTTCTCTCAAGGCTCACTTCGAATTATTATAAACACACGGCTCTGCAGCTGCCCACCCCACAGCGCTCCAAACCCCGTTTTAAGACATTTGAGAAGGAGTTAACCCATCTTAAAACATAACCAAGCTCACACCGATTAACAACTGCAACGTTATTCACCAAAACCAGACTCAGCTCACGCACAGCCCTGTCAAGGCGAAGGGTGACCCGGGCAGGGCCGGGCGGGCAGCGGCAGCAGCCGGAGCGCGGGCAGGGAGCGGGGCAGGACGCGGGGCCCTGCTGCACCCGCAGCCCCGGCCCC